TTTTCCTGGGGGAAAAAGGTTCCCATTTCTGATTGGCTGGGTGAATTGCAAACCACGCCCCGTAAAACTCGGAAAAGTTTTGTGAAGCCGCCATTGTATTTGCTGGCATTAGCATTAGCCCCGCGCACCAACGGAGATAAACTAACTTATGGCAACACAAAAAAAAACATGGGAGCGGTGGAGTGATGACGAAATGTTGCTAGGAAGACTCCCAGCAGGTTCTACTGAAGCCAGTCCCCAACTCCGGGAACTTCCGGCCAGGGACTTCGGGTGGCAGTATACGCCCTGAAGTTGTTTGCTGCCTGCCAGTAAACCCGAAGAAGAAGAAGTGACGTCAGCGGCTTAATTTGCCTAATCCTCCCTCGGGGACTTATTCCGGTGTGAACGCGATTTACTAGATAGTTCCGGAACTAAAAAAAACAGGAACTATTCCTGGGAAAAGTTCCGCGAACTATTCCTGGGAAAAGTACTTGGTGTGAAAGCGCCTATTGTGTTCTTTTTAACCAAATATCTCTCAGAGGGGCGTGGGGAGTGGCTCCTTATTTTCATCTAGTAACAGACAGAGAATCAGCACTTTTGAAACAGGGCTGAAACAGAGGGGATTATGGGATGCTGCAATGCATGATCTGTTTGGTGGTTAGAGCCAAACACTTCAGAGGCATGTTTTGTATATATCTGAGAACCATAATAAAGTAATGAAAAACAGTATTATAGGGGACCTTTAAGTAATGAGGAAAGGTACTTTGAGCTGCTCCTTTTGTGCAAAAGTGGGGTTTTCAGGTCCAGGCGACGCCCCTGCTCGGCACAGCAACCTCCTGGAGCTGCAAGTAGTGATGCTGGTCCTACAGCACTTCAAACCCTTAATACAGGGCAAACATGTGCTAGTGAGGAGCAACAACTGCACCACAGTGGTGTACATCAACAGGCAGGGCGGAGTCCACTCCGTAGCCTTGTTGACCGCAGCAGAAAACCTGTGGTTGTGGGTTTCACAGATTGTGTTGTCTCTAAGGGCCCTGCACATCCCGGGACAGGAGAACGGGGGGGCCAACCTCATGTCAAGAAGCGGACCCCTGCCAGACGAGTGGAGGCTTCACCCGGAGATGGTGAAGCAGGTCTGGACTCAGTTCGGGAGGGCAGAGGTGGACCTGTTCGCCAATCGGCGCAACAGCCACTGTGCCCTGTGTTTCTCCCTGGCCCGGTGGGACAATCCGCCCTTGGGGGTGGACGCATTTGCACACGAGCATGGCCAAGAAAACTGCTTTACGCCTTTCCACCGCTGCACCTTATCCCCCCCCTTCTGGAGAGGGTGAGGCGGGAGCAGCTGTCAGTCATCCTGGTGGCCCATGATCGCCGCCTGGCGCCGTGGTACGTGGGGGTAACACAGATGATGGTGGGCCAGCCCTGGGCTATTCCTCAGGTCTGGGGGGCGCTGTCTCAGGAAGCAGGTGCATAGGGCGTTACCCACTCTGGGCCATCCTCTCCAGGCTTGGCTCCTGAGAGGGACAGGCTGAGACAGGTGGGGCTGTCTGACAACGTTATTCAGACTATCCAAGCAGCAAGAGCAGAATCCACCACAGCCTGTTACAGGCCAAAGTGAGCGGGATTCCGGCGATGGTGTGAAGGAAGGAGTCTAGAGCCTCTGTCATGCACGCTGGGCTCTATTCTTACCTACTACTTACTGGTGGACAGGGGGTTGGCTCATTCCACAATTAAGGTGTATGCAGCAGCCATTTCGTCCTGCCATGAGGGATTTGGAGGCAGGTCAGCCTTCAGTCAGCCGCTTATGTCGCGGTTTTTGCAGGGGGTCAGGAGCCAGCGCCCAGTAGTGCACGCCTCCGCCCCACAGTGGGACCTGCTGTTGGTGCTCGAGGCTCTGGTCACAGAACCATTTGAGCCCCTGGAGCTCTCCTCCCTGAAAGCACTGTCATGGAAGACAGCGTTGCTACTTGCCTTGACTTCGGCCAAAAGAGTGTCCGAGCTGACCGCTCTGTCGGTGCACCCAAGCTGCCTTTTGATCCGGGGTGACCGTAGCGGGGCGACACTTTGACCGAACCCCTCCTTTACTCCTAAGAGTCTAAGGAGTGCGTTCAGGTCAAGGGCTATTCAGTTAGGTTGCTTTCATCTTCCACCCCATATTGGGACCAGGGAGGCTGAATTGCACCTCCTCTGCCCAGTGCGTGCGCTAGCATGTTATGTAGAGCGCACGGCTGCCATTAGACGCACTGAACAGCTGTTTGTGTGCTTTAGGGATGGTATGGCTGGAAAAGCTCTCTCCAAGAAGCGCCTAACAGGATGGCTATGCGAGTGCATTATACATGCCTATGGACGGGCAGGGAGAGCCCTCCCCATTGGGGTCCGTGCACATTCTACACGGGCTGTGGCTGTGTCAACAGCCTTATTCAGCGGCGTGAGTGTAGAAGATATATGCACGTCGGCGTCTTGGTCTACGCCAGGCCCCTTCATACAATTGTATCTCCTGGACATGTCTGGCTCCTTCTCGTCGTCTGTGCTTGCCGGGGCAACGCATGACTGGTGAGAGGGGGGTGGCTGTGGGTCAGTAGGTATCTGACCCCCCCCCCCTGGACATAATGTACTTGTGTTTTTTCCCATGCTCCTGAGGGACTCGGGAGACATGGTGCGCAATCAGCCCCATACAGGGCTGGAGGCAGGCTGGGAGAGCCTTCCTCACTATTGTCCATGCCCACTCTACACGGGGCGTGTGTGTGAGTGTGAGGGACGTGGTGCACTTATGTTTTCCCATGCTCCTGAGGGACCTGGGGAATATGGTGCGCGGTAGGCTCCAGACGGAGTCTCCGCACGATTTTTTCCATGCACACTCTACACGAGGTAAGCGTGTGTGAGTGTGCCTTATCCAAGTTGCGGCCCGACTTCTCCACGGTTACAACCGGATGGGAGGAAGTCGGGATGCAGTGGATGTTAACCAAAGGCCGGTCAGGGACGGTGTGGTGGGTCGATGTTGTTGGACGACAGGGCGTTTATATATCGGGGCTCCGCCCACTGTACCCATAGAGTCCAGTGGAGGGCGGCGCCTGTGTGAGATATAACAGGGGGTTACGTATTGTAACCCTAGTTATATAAGCACAGGCGGAGCCCTCTACCTGGGGGCCCTGTCTTTCCTAGGCCTCTCGCTGAAGAGTGCGTAGGATAGCGGGCGGAGGGCGTAGCCACCTGCGCGCGCATTCAGGTAGGCTCGCCCCGATTGGCCGGCTACGTTTACGTAACTCAGTAGGTGAAAGCATGATAGAGAGTAGTACCCATAGAGTCCAGTAGAGGGCTCCGCCTGTGCTTATATAACTAGGGTTACAATACGTAACCCCCTGCTTCTTGCCTCATAATTCAGCTTTTTTATTTGTTAGACTCTGAAACTAATTATATCCACCTATCCATCTTTGTATGGTTCATTACAGAGGTTTGGTATACTGTTCTTCGTACAATTCGTTCACTGTAAATCTAAATTATGGACAGTGGTTTATTGGTCACAACCTCAAAGTTATCAAATATCCAGTGACGTGCGGTGAGGTTCATGGCTGGTGAGGTACTGACTCTTTCAAAGTCAGATTTACAAATATTATATTTTGACCTTAATCGAAATGTTCGGTTATTTTCAAAAGCTTTTTTAGTCTGATGCTTCGATTCATTTTAAACAGACCGTTCAACAAAAGGATACCCAAAATCTAAATATTGGATTGTTCTTTCTTAGTAAGATTCCATGTTCATTACAATTGTGGTCTTACCTTGACTTGAAGATTAAGTCCATGCTATCCTTCTGGACAACAATCTCTATTACTTTTTTGTAAAAGTCCTCTTATCTTCCTCTAGTTTCAAAAGTCTAGTTTGTTGTTTGCGTCTGCGTAGAATAACAGTAGCAACAAGAACCTGTGGGCTCACTTGCGCCCCCTTCAGTGCGGCAGAGGTTATGGCTGCCTCTCCTGGTGCTTTTTTCATTGCCGTTGTATGATGAGACCAGCGAGCCTAAATATCATATATACGTGAAATAAGTTATTTAGAGCAGTGGTTCTCAAATGGGGGTACGCGGACCCCTAGGGGTACGTTGGAGTACTGCAGGGGGTACGTGAGATTTATTTTATGTTAATGAAAAAAAAATAGATAAAAATACCAATTTTAGGAAAAGTAAGAAAGTTTGAGCAGTGTGGGTTTTATATTAATAGACTAGAGTTACACATATTTCAAAACGCGAAGTGTAATATCTGCAGTTTGCCTCCCTGTCAGAATGACAAAGCTCCTCAGTGAAGCACAAGCCCATGTTTCTCACTACATTGTTAGTACAACTTATTAAAAAGATCAGTTCAATGCAACTAATGTCGTCTCAGTGTTATTGCATGATGTTAAAATTGGTTTGCCATGAATTTAGTGATGGATTGCAAACATTTGAAATGTAGCATTTAAGTGTTTCTCAGTTACAAGGTTGTTGTTTTAATAAATCAGACACAGATGGTGCAAGGCTGTACTGTATCTCTTTATATAGTAATTTCTTCCCTAACAAATAGTTTTTGCGCTGATCAGGGGGTACTTGGCTGAATTTTTTTTCCAAAGGGGGTACATTATTGAAAAAAGTTTGAGAATCACTGATTTAGAGACTATGGATGGAGAGGATAAATGTAATAAAGGGATCTACAAACATTACATTGGTGACATACAGTGAGATGGTGCAGGCATGCGCTTAGGGCCCGCTTTCCAGCCAGTTTCTGTGGGGTGACGCATTCTGAGGTGAGGCAGATCTCATCTGTGCCTCACCTCACCACACAGTAACTGGCTTGAGCGTGCTCACAAAATAAATGCCTGCGCTACATTAGTGCCCGCGCTCCAGCCAGTTACTGTGGGCTTACGTGAGGCAGAGCTCGTCCTTGCCTCACTCCTCATCGCTCCCATGTAGGAGTTGTAGCAGAGCTCGTCCAATTTGCTGATTTTGACTATAAAAAGCGATTGGAATCATACAGAAATCACATTTACAACACAGATCAGTGGAGACATTTTATTATTATTACTATTGAGTTTTTCATGTTTTTCCGTTACATTGGAGTATGACAGGTGAGGCTCTGCCTCCCCTGCCTCCCCTGACTGCACGTCGCTGCAAATATTTACATAATTTTGTGAATTTGGCTTGGTGTCCTTGACTTGAATTGTATTGTGAAAGTGACCCGGCGGTGACACGGTGGCAGGTGTGACTGGATGCACTCTGACAGTTTATTTTCTCCACTCCTGTCCTGTGGAATTCAGGCCTCTGGTGGCAACCAACATCAGTTCTGCAGTGACAGAGAAAACAACGTGGCCTGGTTCAGTCACCGGGCCTCAGCGTCTGTCACAGCCTTATCTGGGACACATTAGAATGATGTACACATGTCCTTTTGTTACTCCCATGTTCATCAAAGGTTATTATTGCATGCAAAATTAGATATAACCGGTTGAGGGAAACATCTCAGTACATGATTGGTTTAAAAAAATGTTGCTAATAGAGGCAAGAAAAAAATCTAGCTTAAACAGATATTAATAAAATAAAATAGAAATAAGACCGATCTGCGATTGTAATCAAAAAACAAACTCTGGTTAAAAGTTGCTCTTAAGTGTCCAACATAAGATAACTCCTGAAAAATAATAAATATATTGAAATGTCCTCACTTAGTGACTCTTTGGTCTGTTAGTTTCTCACAAGGCATTTGTGTGCTTAAAGCCGATATTATGTCATAGTAGGAAAATAATTCTGCCATTGAGTTTAGACCAGGGTTGGGATCGAAATTTCAAAAAATCTGCTCCTTTTGTCTTTTCCATTGTTCCTTAACCTCTAGGTGAAGCGTCATGGAGTGAAGGATAGATGATAGGAGAATTCATCCGGATAGCTAGCAAGACAACTGCTGTGCTTTAAGAATCCAACTAAACTGACACTATCTGACGTATTCATGATGCGTCTGCCGTGCGAAAACTACAATGTTTCAGTACAGTGGAGTAATATAAACCACCTAGATACTTTGCAGAGTGCTCTTATTTTGTTGATTTATGCAGGCTTTATAAACGCGGTAAACAGTGTAAAATATATTCTTCTTTACCAATGGTCAATTTGAAATAAAAATATGAAAGTGAAACGTAATGGTTGCTCACCCTCACCCTGCGGTCAAAACACATTAATCCAATTTAATCCCAATAATTAGGCTATGATTGTACAAACATATTTTATATAAATACAATTCAATGCAATATATGTACAACCTTAGGCCTTCACCTATCACTGAGTATGTCACCATTCAAACATGTTTCGAAAATAAACCCCATACAAAATACCATTAAATGTAGACTTGATTTGATTGTTTTACAGTAAAAAGGTAACGTTAATATTGTTCGCCTTATGAGTGTCGAAAGTTCAGCACTCTGGCAAGTCATGGCATAATTGTTGAAGCTCCTTTCCTATGATATAGAGAATCCGAGGATCTCTTATCATGGCTGCCACCTGGGTACCTCCGGGTCATTTCACTCGGTTAGGAACCTTTTGGTTGGTCAGTGGTGAAGTCGCTTTCTGCTGCCTCAAGATAGCAATGGTCAAACAATGCCAATGACCACACTCTCACTTACCTTAGTGGGAGTGTTGGATTGAAGTCATGGTATGACAGAATGTATTACAATGTATCCAACCTCTGGTGACTAAAAACCCAAACTGAACCTTGAATCAATATGCTAGCAGTTTTTTTGCTAAAAGTTTTGACTATAGAACCAACGACCAGATACTGTGTAGCAAAGGGTGAGAAGAACAGTGTCAAAACATGTATGTTTAGAAATGTCTGTGAATGAATCTACTCTGGACTCTACCTGCATCCTGTGTAACATAATGACAAACAAACCTTGAATATTTGAATGTTGTCCATTCTGTCCATAGAGGTCGGCTGGAACGGTGGGTTTTTTTCTCTGACCAATCAGTGTAGAGCAGGGGGGTCCAAACTTTTTTCACCGAGGGCCACATACAGAAAAATATACGAAGGGCTGGGCCACTCCCCAGAGGTGAGGTATAATGCCTCTTAAGTTCAGTTATAAGTTGGAAAATTATTTAAACTATTCTTGATACTTGAAAATGCCTTAAGAAAAAAACAGCCTCAAAGCTCCCCATAGGGTTTCATTTATTGTGTTGGCGGCTCATTCCTTAAAACAGAAGCTTCAGATTGCTGATAATAAGAGGAAATATGAAGGGTATATTTCAAGGTTGTTATGTCAATTTGTCATTGGGCTTTTTAATTATGAACTTAGATTTGTTAGAACATGTTTTCAACTTTAATTGACTGAATTTATTTTAACATTGGCCTTATTAACACATGAATACTGTGTAATATTTTTGAACATATATATTTAAGAAGTACAATATAAGACAAGCAGAAGTTTATTATACTTAAGTCATTATACTTTTTGAATTAGCTGAGGGCCGATTCAAAATGGTCCGCGGGCCGCATTTAGACACCCCTGGTGTAGAGAGATGAATGCTTCCTAACACACACTGTCAGCAGAAACACATCTTTCCTCATTTATTCTTGCAAACCATGTCTGCTGGTGTGGAACATGTTTAGACACAACTAAATACATCTACAATAACGCTCTCCATAAGAATAGTTTGTATCATAGTACAGAGTGGATGGAAGCTCCGATTCTCTGGATGATCCAAAGATCTTATGGCCTACTTTTTGTGTGTGCTATGTTATGTGTAGAAAGAAGCACCAACAAGAAGGCTTGTGGGTTATCCAGAGCAACAGGGACGTTCTAAAGACATGTTGCTTTTAATCTTTCATTTTGTAAAGGCTGTGAGCATCAGAAAGTGGACCACACACGCACAGCCAATATAACTACAATCAATTATACCATTTCAACTCCTGCATTATTATCCTTCTGTCTTACATTCAGCAGAGTGGTAACAGTCACTATCAGAATGAGCTCCGTTCTTTCTTGTCAGGTAAAATCAATGTGCAGTGATGGGATTCCAATTCAGCTGTTATCGACTGCTCCCTCTGGTCACTATTGATTTCTGGGAATGACTCCTGGGTTCGATTTGTTCTGCTCAGATGTGGATCCTGAAACAAACTGCTGACTGGATTTGGTTTGCTTGTTGCTGATTGTTTTCCTCCCCCTTCACCTATTGATGTTTCTTTACTTAGCTGACTGGTGTGCAGTGTCTATTTCAAGTGTCAAAGGTGTCAGGAGTCTCTGTGTTTGCAGTTGAGAGGATGTAAGTGTGCTGCACTGTGATCCAACAGCTGTAATTAGCTGAGACAAGCTCAATGCTTCCATTCAATGAAGGCTAATGAAGTCATTAAGGAATCCTTCACTCAAACATTTCACTCTCAGTTGTATCTCTTCAATGTTGCAGCTTTTGTATTTAGTGATATGTTACCTTTTTATCAGCTTGAACTAGTTACTTAAAATTAAACCCCATTGATATTGGGTTTTATCCCTTTGGTTTGAACCTTCTTCAAGAAAATATCCTATCTACAACAAAGCAACATGTATAATCAGACCTACATCCAACACTCAAACAAGCAGTGTGCAAAATACTGCATGACAACCAGGCTGCTTGAAAACCGACTACGATACATCACTGTCAGACAGCTGATCAGATTAGATGCAACGCCCCGACATTTAACATCATTTATGGCATGACAAAAATATGAATTGTCCCTTTTGTCCATGGCAGAATTTGCTAAACTGCCATAAAGTATGATTTGAAAATATTTTAAATGTGCTTTACAAAAAGACTTGTAAATCACAGTCATAATCTTAACATCATGGATCAAATACTGGGGCTGTCCAGTATTTGCAATTCAAATAATTCATCCTATTTATGCATGCTTTGTGATTTATCACTGTAGTTGAATTGCATCTATCAATATCAAGATATTTCAACTCGAAACACTACATTTTTATGGCAAATGGCTCAATTATTAAATGGAAATATCAAAAGGGGCATTAGAATTCAATAAATTGTTACATTTTGAAAAACATCCGCCCCACTGGGTCGGTGGTCAGCATTTATCAGACACTGTGCAGCATCACAACAATGAACATTGATTGGCAAACGTGCCTTTGCACTGTGATGCATTCACTGATGTCCACACTGAATGCTGTCTGGTGATGTGACACCTTAGCTTGTGGAAAAGTGAATGGTGTGATTCAAATCTGCAAAAGGGATTCTTCAATGACAAGCTGATGTTACTGCTTATGCAAATATGCTTTCCCTGAATCCATTTGCTTTGTTATAAAAACATTCTTCATACTCTCCACACAGCAGTGGCGAGCCGTGACTTTTCTACCTAGGCCCCCCCCCCACCCCCCCTGATGGATATAAGAGGGATACATTAGCAAACATCATATATATATATATATATATATATATATATATATATATATATATATAATGTTTCGTTTTTTTGTTTGTCATGTAACATAAACGTTTTGACCTTCTGTTTAGAATGTGTGTATATATATATAAAATAGTATCATTAAATAATGCTGTCAGATAAATGAAGTACACAGTAATAGTCAAGGTTATATTCAATATTCTGCACTTACACCAGCTGATAAGATATTTAAATTCGTCCTGCCATGAGGGATTTGGAGGCAGGTCAGCCTTCAGTCAGCCGCTTATGTCGCGGTTTTTGCAGGGGGTCAGGAGCCAGCGCCCAGTAGTGCACGCCTCCGCCCCACAGTGGGACCTGCCGTTGGTGCTCGAGGCTCTGGTCACAGAACCATTTGAGCCCCTGGAGCTCTCCTCCCTGAAAGCACTGTCATGAAGTCAATGGAGAGAGAAAGATTATCTTTCGATCCCGTTTGAATTGTGCCACGAATTACACATATATGATGTTTGTCAATTAAAAGATAATTGTGCAAGTACAAAAAAGAAAAAGTGTCGTAAAACTGTGAAGTAACACTTTTGTTTGTGTGAAACGCTCAATGAACTACATCTCTGGTCTCGCAGAACAACACACGTCCCCAAGATGGCCGTCAATACTGTCTTGTCAACAAAACGATTGACTACCCTCAATATCATCACAATGAAACACGTCCAGAAGAATGTCATGCAAAGCTGCCTGCCTGCCTTCCTTTGATTTTCTCTGAACTGCCTGATCTTTTTAATAATTAATGTCAACAATTTGTGCAGATAGCATGAAATAGAAAAGATCGGCGATCGCCGATGCTAGCGTTAGCATCTCTCCCCCGGGCTTAAATGGTGTATTATAGAATGATCACACCGGTGACAGTACTCTTCAAAGGGTTCACGAAATATGACTACTACTCTTACTGTTTAACATGTTGGGTTACTTAATGTTACTTCATGTTAAGGCTAATAAAAATGACAAGGCTGTAATGCTAACTAACATGCTAGCTACTAGCTAGGTAACTAACTTGATCCAGCCACTCCTGGTCCTTTCATCAGACGGGAAGCGAAAGAACGAGCAAGACCCATTGCTGGTATGATAACAACTTGGTACTAAGCACACAGGCATCTTTTTTGGAGGAACGGAGGAGACGGTGGTGATCGCGGAAGCTTTCCTCCTGCCTTCACAAACTTTACACAAGTATATATCGTCTGAAAATAGCAAGAGGACATTCACACTGCAATCCAAGACTTGATTACATCCACCAAAAACCTGACATAACGACAACGAGTGTTTTTAAAAAACAGAAATCGATGTGTGTCTCTGAGCCGCAGCGACACGGACTGATTCAGAGCGGGTCCTTCTGCGGTTGGTTCTGGAGTGGTGCTGGTGTTGGTGGATAAAGCAGACTGCTCCGTGTTTGGAGTCGCTGTGCCGCTGTCACTTAATTCAAAAAACGTTATTGTCCAGCCGCGGCCGGAAGATCAGGAAGCAACGTCACTATGCTATTCTTTCACACACACATACGGGTTTTGGGCCGAGGGCGACACCGTACTTCCGGTATCAACCATTTCACGCGAGGTGCATACAGAATATCATAGTCGATTGCCTTAATCAATATAGTCAACTCTAAAATACCACATATATGCATTGGCATGATAATATTATTGTGACAAGTGGGGTATTCACCTGGTGTTTCCAGAAGATAGACGTAGATGCAGCCAAAATCGACCGAAGGCCACTTTTGAGGGTCGTAATTCCATACGTTGTACATCCAACAACCCACACAGCTATAGTTTACGCTGGTAACGACCTAGAGCACACCCCTCAAGTCCAGAGATGTAATCCGAAGACATGCAGCGATTTCTTCGGTCGTTAATTCAGAAAAAAAACCTAGTGCGCTCTGCCTTGCTACATAAGCTAGCTGTTTATATTAGCATTGCCAGGATTTTTACACCTCCAGAAAAATGGCGTCTTTATAAAAAAATATATGGCGCGCGTTGCATTGTGGGTAGCTGTGACGTCACTGTGTGTGAAAGAATAATCGATTATGTTCTGTCCCTGCATCGATGCAGAATCGTCCACGTCCGCATCACGATGCATCGTAGAAACGATTCATTTCAACACCCCTAGTCCACACTATTACTATTATTTTGCATATTAGGTGACCTCATAGACTGTATATATAAATTGACGTAGTGCCCGTGACGTCACCCAGTGTGGTCCCCCAGTGTGGTCCCCCAGTGTAGTCCCCCAGTGTGGTGCGTTTCTATCCTTCCAATATGCAAACACAAAAAGAGACATCTTCACATTCTGTAATTCATATTTCAAAGGAGGGAGAGTCATTTGATATAGTTCAACAATTTCCTACAGAAGGCCAAGAAGCTCCATGTTCATTTATATTTGTTTCCCATGGTCGAGGAATATATTTGTTTAATATGCCAACACGTTATACTGTAGCCAACCTCAAATGCAACCCATGAAGAAATGATTTGAAGGTCCTTTAATTCCCCTAAAGGCTGGGCAGTAAACGGGATCATCTCAGGCACTGGTGTCACATCCTGCTACAACATGGATTTTGTGATACCGTTACCTTGATGAACACACACACACATTTTGGTTTAAGTGCACACACAGGAGCAGCTCAGTGGCGAAAGTGTTTTCAAACTCTTTCTACATGTGGATTAAGTGCATTTTTGCCCCCATATATAATGTATTGCTCAGATTCAGGTGCTCAGCAGTACCTTTCAATAAACCATGTTCGATTTACTGGAGAAAAACACCTGTAGGCCAGTACCCTGTTTTCATATTCAGAGGCAACAAACACATCCTTTTTGTTTATCATTCTATTCTCTTCAAATATGTTCCATTATATTAGCAACAAGAGTGAAAAGAGATTATTGTATTCATTTGCATTGTGTATTCATTTGCATTGTCTAATCCTGTGATTGACAAAGCTACAAATCCTGTGATATCATTTTAGGTCAAATTGCCCATCCCTAATTCATTATAGGAAGCCTCTCTGCTACTCCAAACTGGGGGCTTGCCGACCAACATCTACTGTTTGTGGCTAAAAGATAAATATATCAGTACCACTTTACAATAAGACTACCCTTATAAAGGATTCATAAAGGGTTTATAATTAGGTTATTAATTAGGTTGTAAACACTTTTGTAGGAGCAAAAACGTTGATTTATTATATTCATTATTTAATCATTTAATGTATGTAATGGAGTATAATTGATTGGTGTCAGTTGATCAGGATCCACAGCCACGGTGGGGCAGAGCAGCTGATTGGTGCTGCGATTGCCTCAGCTGGTTAAAAGAGTCCTGCTGATTATACTCTGGGTTCTATTTTGTTTGTGAAGCCACACGTTTTTTTGACCGCTGCATTGCACTGCAGAGAAGATACGATTTGTTTATTTAAGTGACGAAAACTGTTTCAACATCGTAAGATCTGGTAAGATACCTTCATTTGTGTTTAAAGACGAGAACGAACAGTGAACAAATGGAAACGATAACATGGAAATAAATCTACCAAAAACAAACAATATATCCTTATTGTAAAGTGTGAAACACATTAGGGCTGCTCAATTAATCATATTTTAATCGCAATTACGATTTTGGCTTGCAACGATTATGAAAACAACATAATTGAAATAAAACGATTATTTTTATTTTATTTATTTTTATTGGTATTTCAGCTGAATTATACTTAAAGTTCAGGGTGATCAACTGTTAAAAATATACTGTTCACATTTTTTTCTTCAATAAATTGATGTTTTCAAAGTAAATGGATAATCGTTTTTAATAATCGTGATATCAATTATTGACCCAAATAATCGAGATTATGATTTTTGCCATAATCGAGCAGCCCTAAAACACATCACCATCTATTGATGAGTCACTAACATTTATAACCGCCTAAAGGGAGCCTTGTAAAGTGTAAACAGATACCAAGGATGCTGGCTGATGAAGAAGACGAAGTAAGCTAAGTAGCCAATATAAGACTTAGCAGTACAGATAAATGTGGGCTCACTATTTGGCAAGCAACCGGTCACAGTTGCCCTGTTTATCTCATGTCTTATAAAAGCTTATTAATGATTTATAAAGTGTTAAACCTAATTACTGTAATAAATGAATTACAAACTATTCCTAAACCCTTTATAAGGGTAGTCTTATTGTAAAGTGCTACCCAGATATGTCGTCTATGTAAGCTGAGCAGCCGGATGCTTTGTATGGTTGTTCACTTTTGGCCCTCTGCATAGCATTTCTCCAGCCTTTGCTAGAAGGTTTGTGGCTGACTGTGACGAAGGTAACTTCGTCACTATGGACTGACTGCTTCAGGCCGGGTAATTGTGTGCACCTGGTGTCCTGTGTTGTCTCCTCCCCCCCTCACCTGTGTCTTGTTGTGCTGATTAGTGTGTGTATTTAGGCTCTGTTTCCCTGTCTGTTGAGAGGCTGGCAGGGAGTGTGTGTGTGAGATCCTGGTGGCTGCAGGCTGGGCTCACGTGAACAGCAGCAGCAGGATTGAGGCTGGTGGCTGTGTGCACAGGAACAGCAAGATTGAGGCTGTGTCCTGTGCTCAAGTTTTAATAAATGCCCACACCGGGTTATATTTTTGGACGTTCTGCCTCTGCCTCCTTGCTTGGTCTGGGCCGCTCAACGGTCAGCTTCACAATTGGTGTCAGAAGTGGGATTTGACCAAGTAAGGAAGTGAAAATTATGAGAGGAAAGAAGAGGGACCAAAGAGAGGAACCGCGGCTGGGGGTGGCTATGCCTGGAACGGACCAGGGGGCCACGGCTGTTGAGGCAGCAGGAGACGAGAGACAAGCAGCTGGAGAAGGAGAAGAGGGAACTCCAGGAGCGCCTGAAGAACCAGGAGAAAAAGATTGACTACTTTGAGAGGGCTGAACGCATTGAACATGAGCAGCGAGAGGAGGAGGATCGGGAGTACCAGGAGCGTCTGCGCAAACTCGAGGAGCAGGAACGAAAGCAGCGCGCTCGTCAACAGGAGATCTAGGAGCGGGAACGCCGTTGTTACGAAGAGAAACGGGTCCCAGCCGAGGAGAAACCCAAGGATTGGAGCGAAAAGGAGGTTGCAAAAGACACTGTGCTTCCTGGGGAGAGGGGGAAGGAAATGTGACAAAGGTAACTTCGTCACTATGGACTGACTGCTTCAGGCCGGGTAATTGTGTGCACCTGGTGTCCTGTGTTGTCTCCTCCCCCCCTCACCTGTGTCTTGTTGTGCTGATTAGTGTGTGTATTTAGGCTCTGTTTCCCTGTCTGTTGGGAGGCTGGCAGGGAGTGTGTG